CGTGACGAACGCAATGCCGTTTACGCGCACAATGCGCTGTGAATCGGCACCCATGGTCTACATGTGGATTGGGTTTTCAGTCCCTACCTGATTCCGTGGGTTTTCCCCAGACTATTCTTCTGGGGTTTTCCTCCCACCTTTAAAACTGTAATTTCTTCTCATTGTCTTCTCTATACGTTTTTTTTTCCGGGGTTTGCGAGCTACAGTGCCTGGGGCATGCACTTTCGAGGATCCTTGGTTTCATTACCAGAAAAAAAAATTATCGTTTACTTCGTTTCGTATGAATATAAAGGGGTAAATGCTTCAGATTTCAAATATGCACTTGTCATTTACAAGGCTGGGTTGGGGCAACCTTGAAAAAACACTGAGTATACAGTGTTTAAAAAAACGTCGGTGAAGGGCAAAAACCTAATCTAATTTGAACCTTGAAATTATAAAGTAAAATAATTCTGCGGAAAAATTACTGCATTTATTAAAGTTCATAAAGTACACATGATACCATATGTTTGTATGAATAAAGCATGGCATTTGCTTTTGCTACCACTTCGAAGCATTTACTCGCATCTGTATGAATGAAAATTAAGCAAACACTTTTACTAAAAACCGTTTGCTAAATTCTGAAAATAATTACTTTTTACCTTTAAGCTTTTGCTACACTATAAGCGTTTACTTCGTTTCTTATGAATACAAAGGAGTAAATGCTACAAATTTTAAATATTTACTTGTCATATTTCAAGGTTGGGTTGGGGCTACCTTGAAAATATAAAAGCACATGATTCTGCGCAAAAATCACTGCATTTATTAATGTTAATCGCGAAAAAGTACAAATAATACCATACGGTAGTTCATATGAATAAAAACTGGCATTTGCATTACTCACATCTGTAAAAATGTAAAGCTTTACACGTTTATAAGTTTGCAGAAATAAAACTATCGTAACGGAAACGGAAAGCGGCACTGGGGAGGGTCACGTGCTGGAGGACAGATACAAAAAAGCGCACCAAACGTGACGAACGCAATGCCGTTTACGCGCACAATGCGCTGTGAATCGGCACCCATGGTCTACATGTGGATTGGGTTTTCAGTCCCTACCTGATTCCGTGGGTTTTCCCCAGACTATTCTTCTGGGGTTTTCCTCCCACCTTTAAAACTGTAATTTCTTCTCATTGTCTTCTCTATACGGTTGTTTTTTTTCGGGGTTTGCGAGCTACAGTGCCTGGGGCATGCACTTTTGAGGAATCCTTGGTTTCATTACCAGAAAAAATTATTTATCGTTTATACTTCGTTTCGTATGAATAAAAAGGAGTAAATGCTTCAGATTTCAAATATGCACTTGTCATTCACAAGGCTGGGTTGGGGCTACCTTGAAATTATAAAGCAAATAATTCTGCGCAAAAGCTACAGCATTTATTATAATTATGTTTATCGCAAAAAATAATATTAACAAAGTTCATAAAGTACAAATGATACCATGTTCGTATGAATAAAACATGGCATTTGCTTTTACTTCCAATTTTGAAGCATTTACTCGCATCTGTATGAATGAAAATTAAGCAAACACTTTTACTAAAAACCATTTGCTAAAATCTGAAAATAATTAGTTTTTACCTTTTAGGTTTTGCTACACTATAAGCGTTGACTAGTATGAATATAAAAGAAGTAAATGCTTCAGATTTCAAATATTTACTTGTCATATTTCTGAAGTCCTTTATCTACAGAACTGTAAGTCCGATTGGGTTAAAACTTGGTATGTGGCCAGACCGGGATGTGTTATAGATAAAAAAAAATGAAGTGACGTAATGATGACGCCATCCTGAGATTTTATAAGAATATTTGAATTTTTGGACCGTTTAGCCATATCTCACGAACGCAACATGCAAAGTTAAAAATTCTTTTTGTATTTGGTTTGTTAGGTAATAGGTATTTGCACAACATTTTTGAAAAACTTGGGTAGGTAGATAATGGTACTAGTATGCAAAGTCCGAAGTGACGTCACGATGACGTCATCGTTTGATTTTTTTTTATGATTTTTAAAATATTTATGAATTTATTCTGCTTCCAAAATTGCACACTTTCTTTCATCGGATTGACATTAAACTTGGCTCAAACCAAGACCACAATGACAAAATGTGTATTGAGAAGGGTTTTAAAGATGACGTCATTGCAGGTCATGTGACGTCATGTGATAAAATTATATTTTAGGAATTATTCTAAGCATTTGAACAACCTTTAACTGCATGAAGCACTCTGACAAGTGACTGCAAAAGGACCAACGAAACATAAACATTTGTAAAATGCGAAAAGCCCTGTGTTCTGTTTGCAAACAGACAAGGTGTCTTTTTTTTATTTCATCTTTTTATTTTTAATATGACGTCACGTGACATGTGACGCCATATTAAAATTGCATATTTTGAAGGCCAATATCTACAGAACCACTGGTCCGATTTGGGTTGAAAGTTGGTATGTACCTAGACCGGGATGTGTTATAGATTAAAATTGAAGTGACGTCATGATGACGTCATAATGGGTTACGTGACGTCTCGTTAGAGATTAATAGATTTGATCTTTAAAAATCAATATAAAATCAACCGTGAGCGACCTGAACATGATTTTCGTGGGATATGATAGAATTATCGAGGGTCTTCATTTTTTATATTATGTGCAAAATCACGTGACCCTTTCTTCCGGTTGAAACCGGAAGTGCCTTGTAATTTAAAATTGGTGAAAAATGTGAACTTGCATCAACGATGTATGCTCTGGCGAAGTTGTTCTTTACCATAATATTATAGTTATAGATGAAACTTGATGTGACGTCATAATTCACAGCCCTATGAGAATATAATCACATATTATATGCCACCATTTATTATAAACAGAACTACACACCCTTCCTTGATGGAACATAAACGTGAAACTTTACATGTCACAAGTCACAAAAAAATACCGAAACAGCCCTGTGTTTGTCCACAAACATAAATCTAGTTTGAATTATAACTTTCTCAAAAGAATGGACCACCGTTATCATACTTTAAATGTGGCAGGCATTGCCTCAGGCAATGTCTTGGATTCCCGTGTACAAAGCCATTTGTCAATTACTAAATTGTAGGGGCGCTTCCCGATCTTTAACGATCTTTCACCGAACTAACAGAATCATCCCGAGGCAGCCAAGAACCATTTCCCGATTTACTCAAGAATTGCTATTCGCGGCGATTCGGCTTAACAATCGTGAATGTGTGAACCTAGCATTAGGCCAAAAAAAAAATACCTTGGTCTCTGGTCAGCGCGCGCGTCGATTTTAATCATGCGCGTCAACCTTTTTTTTTCTTCAGATTAACACGGAAGCTACAACAGCGCTCTCTATTGCCGCACCTCCTCAAATTTTTGTACCAAGGAGCACCAAGGAATGGCGAAATTGCACCAAGGCAAATGATAAAGGGCACCAAGGCAAATTATGGAGGACACCAATGTATAATGAGGACACAAAAAAGCAAAATAGTACCCACCTTGTCTGTACAATTCAAGCTTGAAAAAAAAAAAACGCGTCGCCGCATCAATTCCGGAACTTCGGTCTGACCAGAGACCGATTTTTTTTTTTTTTGGCCTTACCAAGAATTAAATGCGTCTGCAAATCTTACCAAGTAACAGGGACACGAAAACTCGGTATACGCACCGAGTTAATTTGTTTCCAAACAGATTTAGGGTAGGCACATCAGTTGTACAATGGGTCCATCTATACGTGTTGGGTACCGATTGTGACACTTTTTGTGTCCCTGTTGCACCTGGGTACTTTGTAATTTGTCGAATAGGCAGTATGATATTCATAATCACTCTTGCAGGACGCCTGCGTGAAGCAGTGTATCGGAATTATGAAATCAGAACAAGGGACGAACCTGTGTTCACAGGAGCGGAGTGCCCTACATCTCTCTTTTCGAAGCGATTTGGCCAGACTCGAGTTCATGAACTACTGCTGTGGGGGGGGGGGGGGGGGTCGCCACACCTCCTCCACAGCGAGTCTGTTACCTTCCCAGCATTAAATAATGCCGTATACCCATTTAACACCTGGGTTGAGAGGAGTCATTGAGGTAAAGCGCCTTACTCAAGGACACAACGCATGGCCACGGCGGGGCTCGAACCCACAATCTCATGATCTTGAGGCCTGTGCTCTACCGCCGCTAGACCGGCACGTGCCTAGATTGGGTAGATGTCAGATGTAACAGGGACAGGAAAAAGTCGTGGACCCTTAATTTTATATAATGATCCTGTATATAATCAGTGGCGTAGGACGGTAATTTTGGTTTGGGGTAGGGGGAGTGGATAGACGTCACGGTGACAAGGCACTCGCAAATTGCAATCCGTACTGAAAGGTATAGACAGGGCTTTTTCACCGACGGCTATGTTCGCGCGAAACTCCAAAAGGGGCACCCGTAAAAGTCCCCTGCAAAAAAGGCACAATCAGGGCACGGCATTACAAAATATTGAGTGGTAACCGCTGGTTTAAAAGGGCATTCGTATGGAAAAGGGCAATCTTTAAAGAATATTGGGGGAGGGGGTATAAATACCCGCCTCCCCCCATATCATTCACCTTGACTTTTGTGCTACATATCTTTTGACAAGAAAACCATTCATTCTTTGCCGAAAGTGACCTCATACAACAATGGATAATACCTACAGCATGCATGGCGCAGACACAAATGGCAGAAAACAAGATTGCAGGATTGCAGTAACTAAAACGGAAACACTTTGCTATATCTAGAAATAATCTATGTCTGTGAAGGCGAAAGCCTTGGCGGCAAACCTTTCAGTGTCTTAGGATCTTAAAGATTGAATAACAGACTTACTTTGTACGTCGGGAAAAAATAGACAAATATTCTCTTTGAAGAATTGCGGTAGTGGTTTTAAACGCTTTGGTTGCGGAGATACATCATTACATCTACATGTATACGCGTCTCATTTTGTGCGGACCCCAATCTGCACGTTCTTCTCCTAATTTTCAGCCTTACCTGTTCTTCTTGGAGTTTCAGTTTTGGGTCGCGCTGTCCCTAGAGTAGTGGAACTCGATACTCGTAGGTCAAGCTGACGTCCACGGTAACAGACCAACGTTCAGCGTTCGGCGGTAGTTATAGCCTACCGGCACCCGTCAGCCCCCGCTGGGAAGAGACCCAACTGTTTGCACGGCTGCAGGCAAATATGCCCCTACGACTTCCCCTCTTGCCGTTGCTCCGTCGCTGAAACCTCGTTGCTTTTTGCCTCCCCTTTTTAGCGCCCACGGGCCCGAATCAACATTAGCTTTTAGTTAGTGTGCTGGCGGGGCTTCATTAGCTTTTATACGTTGATCTTTTCCTCTCCGGCCCCAGTCGTCCTTCTCTCGTTTTTAATTACCGCTAGTATATTGACATTGATCCATAGATGGGTATTTGTCATGCGCAGCGATCCTATACCTAGTTTATCATTCACCCAGGACGCGTCGTTTCCTGTGGCCAATCACCGTCGGTGTTTCTGCGCCCCAACCACTAGGCTCCGCCCATGTGGGTTACGTAGTAAAGACCTATACCCTCCTGAATGACGTTGATGGCGTGGAAACGCAGCGCTAGTGCTCAACAGGAAGGGTTAACTCGATAGCGCGAAACAAAAAAATTGCCATCGGTAATCGTTTAGAAAAAAAGTGAAGATTTACTTCGTCAAGCAATATAAGCCCATTTTGGGCCCTATTTCAAAAATATTGTGTAGGTATGTCTACAGCAACCAACATAAACGCCGTGGGTCACTTTAGATATCCAACCTGCGCTTAATACTGAATCCTTTATCTAAGACAGCGACACCTTTTTTTTTGCTCGTACAAAACATTTACTATACTACAATAGTACAGTATCATAATTCATGTGACCGACATTGTTTCCCATTTATCACTACTTCCGTACACGCACACTCAATAAAGTAGTTCAAAACTAGATCAATGAATCAATATTGAGAATCGAATAAAGAAATGCCAAGAGGGTTGATCGATATTATGTTTCTGTCTGAGTAGCTTTTAGTAGGTTCGACTGGGCAGGTGTTAATCGAGATTTCCCCCGTCTTGTTCAGCCGCAACACTTGCTCCCATTCCAAATATTTCCCCCTACAATTTTGGTTGAGAGCCAGTTCTAAGCCACTAGCGTGGTGCGAACATTTGAATATACGTCACTTGATACGTCTGCTTCGTAATCGAATGACGTCATGCATACACTTATTGGTAGCCTCAAATTTGATTCCCAGCGAAATTTTGACGCAATTTGTAAAAGACTAATATATTATTTTATGTGCTCAATGAATAATGATAATTTATACTACTCCGACCACCTTCGTGACACACTCTGCGGTTATTTTTTTTCCCCAGCAAATAAATACAAAGGAAAAGTCCCGCTCATCGTAGACCGCGAACCATCACCCATTAAAGAATTAATCAAACAACGATGGCCGGATATATCAGCATCGAAGTCCCATATCACCGCCGAGCGCTGACGGCCGACAGAGCCAGCAAATTACGGTGAATTCCCCGGCCTGGCCTCGAGGGGGAAAACTCGGTGTCAAGCGCTCGGTAGTCTGATATCCATTAGGGAAGGCCTTGAGTGCGACTGAACATCAAGGCCACGTTTATCTCAACCGTTTCGGCAGATTCATCGGCTTGAAAATGGCCATCAGATGCCTCTGTCGGGAAATTTTTTAATTAATTTGACACGATAAAGAGAAATCTGGCGGCGATGAATATCCTGTCTCCGCCCTTACATCAACCATGTAGGATCCAGAACTTTACAAACGACTGGCTCTTCTTTTCCCGCCAAATTTGGAAGGAGCAGGTTAAATAAATTCCCTCTTATCCGTGGAATGAGTAGTTACTGTTCACTAACACACTACATGCAATATACTAAGTATATAGGCCTAAGAGTTAGCAATACGCAACTTTTGTTTCAAGGAAAAACTCGTTTCAACGATAGTTCCACCGTTGCTAGTATTTAGGACAGAGGCTGTGCACTACATAGAGCATTTTCAAGGCCTTTGTCTCCGAAAGCCTGCAATTATTGATAGTACAATTAATCTTTGAGTTCAATGTAAAACCACTTAAACTTATTAGTGCCCACAACATTCAATTCTCTCATTTTATACGACCTGCGTTTTGGCTGAACCACCGCGGGTGCATTGGAAAAGAGAGGGACACAAAAAAGGTTAGTTTCTGGTCTTATCTTGCCGTGGGTGTCAAACTCAATTCAGTTTCCTCTCCAACCATTATAACCGCGGCACGTGTGTCTCATTTCAAGAGAAATTGACTGAATCAGCAACACATGGAAGCCACCAAAACCTGGCCGACCTGACGTACGGTCTGAGTGACGCCTATAATGGAAACGAATTAGAACTGGAGAAAACTCTGCAAATGAAAACGTATATCAGTTTAGTTAGCCTGTTTTCCTATCTAGTTTGCTCGGGAGATTCGATTCCATTTATCGGCACATTAAAAGCTCTTAGACCAATTTAAAAATCGAGACGTCGAAGGTTTGCGTGGTCGGATTCATGACAAGCATCGTCGGCCTCGAGTTTCGACTCTCGGAAGCATATTGCGGGGGTATTTCTATTTCTAGATCAGCAGTATTGTAGCAATAGTTTTGTTTGGTCTTTTAGCTTCCATTATCCCCTTATTATCAATACAAACAGACCCAACCATCTCTAAACCTAATCAACCGAACCCAACCCAACCCAACCCAACATGTATTTGCCTGCAATCGGGCAACCCAATAGGCAAATGTGGTGTCGCCTTATGTAGTAGCCCGAATGTAAAATTTAAAAAGCCAAAAAAATGACTTTCTCTCTTGTGTTTATGTATTGTATAATGCTCAAAAACTTGACTCGACTCGAATTGACTCGAGCTAAATACTTGACTCGACTCGACTCGACCGTCTTGACATAATGACTTGACTCGACTCGAGTCACTTCTTTAAAATGACTCGACTCGACTCGACTCGAGTCACAAAAATCAGTGACTCGTTACAACTGTGAGACATTATAGACAACACAGATTTAAAACTGACTGAACCTTAGCTCAAGCTTTGTTTTTTCTGTTTCATTTCCTTATGTTTATGCAAAGTTTCTCTGGGCTATACTACAATTACTGTGTCCTTCATTGTTCACATAATTGCAGCTCTGCCGTCTACTTGGCAACCCTGCAAGGCAATGCATATCTCAGCTCCAGACCTCATGGAAAGAACGGCTCTGGGGTCACATTTTGTGCTCTTGTGCAATGTTTAGACGCCTCGTGGACAAAAACGTAACTCGCGTAACGCAGTAAAAAGGTTCACAAAAGGCAAACGGTAAATGCAATTTTCTTCATTCGTCCACACAAGGCTACTTACTAACGAATATGTCATTAAGGTTTTAAAAATTCAAAACGTTAGCTTGGTTTTGAGAAAAAACCCAGATGGCTCATTTGCATAATTGCAGTATTTTTGACTCACCCTGCATGTGGATTAAGACATGACTTTCTCCTTCCACCTCCGTGGAGATGACTTCATTATTAATTGACTAGCAATTAATGACTCGCGACAGGCGTGAACTTCAACGTCCTTTGTGACCCTTCGTGACAGCCTTCTTCATCAATTAGATGAGGTGTAGTTTTCATTAATAATGTACTTTGCTCTAAGGAAGATGCATCTTTATATGAATTGTACCAGTCAGTGGGTAGACTTGGTGCCAAGTCTCAAATTGTTTTGCGCACGGTAACCGGTTACCGGCTCCACGCACGCAAAATATCGCTGCAATGCGCGTAGTCTGGTTCCCAGACAAAATTGGAACCCAGAACAAATGATGCTGACTATTGATGATCAATTGTCGCAACCTGGCCGATTACGTACTAGTCTTATACAAGCCGCGCCGATCGAGTTCAACTGAAGTTCACGAACAAAATACGAAAAATAACGACTTGTCATCGAGTTTAGTCAGTGGGGAAATTCGTAAGTGTGCTGCAAATTAGAAATATACGATAAAAAATCCCCTCTTTTTAAGGTGCAATTGAGTATAGTTAATTTGCTTTAATAAGTTCCCATAAAATATACAGGTTTTAATTTGGGTAATAAGTGTCATATAAATTGTATTCTTCACATCAAACATTGTGCACAGGCATTTAAAAATATTATTTTTATTCCAATGCAGTAATACTGAATTCAGCGTGTAAGGGTTTGTAAATGTCTGGACATTTCCAAGATAAAAGCAAAGTCAGGCAACAATAAAAAAAAAAAAATTGTGTTGCATCTCTTAAATGGCAGTTTTGGTTTTGGATACAGGGTAAGTAAAAACAAACGAAACCCAAATGTCGGGACCATTTTTTTGGTAAATTTCTGCATGTAGCACTTTGAAAATCTAGGATATAAACGCCCAATCCAAAAGCTTTCTTTTAGAACAAGAATCATTCAAATCACTCATATACTTTTAAAGTTATGGAATTTTAAACACAACCACCGTTTTAATGTTCTGTCCACTGATCACAAGAAGGTGAGTGTTCTTCAGCAAAACGAAACAAAGCACATATGGATGTGTGTGAATTGTGTTCGTTTTGCTGAAAGACTGCACACCTTTTTTTGTGATCCGTGGACATACCTTTAAAACGATGGTTGTGTTTAAAATTTCGTAACTTGAAAGGTACATAAGTGACTGAAATGATTCTTGTACTAAAAGAAAGCTTATGAATTGGGCTTTCATATCCTAGATTTAAAAAGTGCTGTATGTAGAACTTCACTAAAACAATAGTCCCGACATTTGGGTTTCGCTTTTGTTGACTAACCCTGTATACTGGACCAAACGCAAGAAACAAGAATATCGTCAAAGCCAAAGCCACCTAAATGAACTGAGAAGTTCATATTCATTACAGAACATCATCCTTTTTAATCTTGACAAATGGTAGCACTTATCAATAATGCATATGGAACTCCCACCGTACCGTCGCGGACAAGTAATATATTTTTCCCCGTCCTTTTTTGGCTTTTTTTTTGATGAATTGACGAGTTGGCCTTGCATTACTGCGCTTCACTCGCACGAGATCGTCTCCCCAACAACTCAAGGTCGCGCGCACCAAAGCGTGAGACGATGAGTCGTAGTGGTTTAGCAACTGAAGTACGTCACATCAAACAGGCTATTTTACGACGGGTGATGGTCAAATAATTAAAAGTGCTGTTATTTTTTCGCTGGTTTTACTTGTCAACTGCGATGGGAATCCATCAAGAACGTGATGCGTCCTTCGATTCCCTTCCACGCTGT